GGAAGCATGCTTCTTGGCCCATCGAAGGAAATCTGCAAATTAGACATGTCCCCATGTCGGTCCCGCTGTGTGATTGCAAGGCCTCTTGATCTGATTCCCACTCTTGACCGTGGAGGACCTGCTCCTGGATCAGATGGCTGGACTCTATGTTCTGTGCAGGACTTCCTGACTACTGCCTGAACACATCAAGATCTTACTAAGCAGCTTGTGAGAAACACGTGCGCCTCACAAGGGCCTTGGCCACCTTGTTCCTCCTCACCGACTCTCACAACACATGAAGCAGAGCAACTCAACAACAATGAAGATGCGCTCTGCAGGGTTGGTTGTCTGAATCAGTGCCTGAGGATTGTCTTCCTGAGGGCGGTCAGCGTCTCCGCTTTCCGCGTCAGGGGTTCCAGACAGCTCCTGCAGAGTTTGCAGCAGACAGAGCACCAAGATGCGCCAAGCAGGAATTGCAACCCGCACAAAAAACGCGGTTGCGCCTCCTCTGTTTCGTCATCTGTCAGGGGCTCTTTCCCTTGCCGGCCGTCCTGCTTCCGATGAAAAAAAAAACGTACATCGAAGCCAGCTGCTCAACTTGCCGCCTTGTGTGCGGAGACAATCTCCACGTCCTTCCCTAGGACAAGAACTTTTCCAGCTTGGATTGCTGCCTCTGCACCTGAAATTGGAGAGGGCAAAAATTATGAAACATGCATTTAGATATCTCGCCTTCTCGTTCTTTAAAGCGAGCGAAGCCAAACTTCAGGCGACGCTCGAGGTGCACGTGAGTAACCTCGGGTGCACACATCCTGCATGATGTGACCCTTGAAGCTGTGAACGGGTCTTCAAACTTCTACTGCTATACTGCTACATGTCTCATCCAAGGAACCTCACCAAACGCGCCCTGGAGAGCCTCCTTCACTTCGTGCCTGAGGAAGAGCGTGATGAGAGCTTAGTGGTCCACAAACGAACCCTTCACAACCCTCTGAAACGGAGACCAGGTGGCTTTGACTCCAGCGTTTCAGGCAGGCTTCTAATGCAAATCGATTGCTCATCACGCCTCAGTTGCCGAGTCCTGCTGAAGACTTGGGGCAAACAACATTGAGCACACAATTTTGGCGGCTTAATACACTGGGAAGATCTGGGAAGCAGGTGCCCTCTTCGAATGGACCAAGCTGCGTGACAAAGCCGTCGCTCAGACGCTGCCGCTGCCGCCTAGAGTCACCTCGTTTTTTCAGTTCACTGGTCTCTTGAGATTGTTATCCAACCCTCTCTATCACCCGCACCCGGCAGGTCAGGGCACTACAAATAAAAGCTCTTCCCGAAACAGCACACACTGATGGCCACGTCCAGCACATTGGACAGGCACAAGCAGCACCCGCATGCCGTCGGAAAAACAGAGCATGAAACAGAATATGTACAATATCAAATTGGCTGTCAGCTGGTCTGGAAGCAGAAACTGCACGATCATGTTGATTCAACAGCAAATCTCTTGAGATATACCCCTCCTATGTCTCGCCGCCGAATTAACTTCTCAAGTTTTGCGGACCTTTATGATGGACGGAACAGGGCCGCCTGCAGCACGGCATTTAATGCTTCAATCATGGACGGCAGCTCTCTGCTCTCTGACAAATATGCGACAATAGCCACATCTGACATGCAAAAAGCGTGTCACGCTCGTGCATCACCCCAGCTACCTACTCAAGGTGCAGCAAGGAAGCCGGTATGTTTGGATGCTCGCTTGAGATCTTTATCGCGCTTTCTTGCGCCCCTCAGATGATGGCCAGCGATTAGCAGGCTCAAGTCATGCGCTCTAGACCACCAAACGGTTGATGGCTGTTGGTGTACGGTAACACCGGCACAAGCAGTAATGTGAAATGCTGCGTCGGATAGGCCTTGACAAATGCCACGATGAGGACATTACATTCTCGCAGCCCCTCTGCAACACGACACAAAACCCAAAAAGGAGAAGACGATCTCAGGCAAGATGCTTATGCACCTTGCTCTTGCCCTTTCCGCGACCCTTCTGTTTGCCCTTGCCGCGTCCCTTGCCTCTGCCCTTGCCCATTGCAGGCAAGGAGTCTAAGCAATGATCTGCAATGTCGTATGCTTATCATGCTCTGCTGATTTGTGTTCCCCATCGGTAATTAGCTATCACACGTCAGACCTGAAACCATACGAACCTGGAAGATGCCAATAGCGACAACCATATCAGCACCCCTGATGCTACAGTAGTCATGGCACAAGCTTAATGATGGGGGGCTGCGTCCCGGAAGCCCCTGCAAGGATTGTTGTTTAAGATCTTGATCCTTTAGGCAGCCGCCTGGAAAAAAAAACTTGCCATGCCACGAACCATCTGTGTCACATTGTGCTGCTGCAGATGCCGCGCTTCATGCACTTGGGATCCTCGCTGGAATGAATCATCTGGACAATTTTCTGCACTTGATGCATGTCGGCGAATTGCACGCGGACCAAAAACTGCCAGCGCACATCATGTGGCTTCGTCCCGGAGATTCGCGAAAATCAAGACGCCAGAGGCGAAGCACGAGTGACTCTGCCACTCGCACCACAAGAATCTGTGCGACCCTGCCATTCTGTGTGAACAACACAGCTCACATGAAGCAGCATCCAGCTCGTCTCACTTAAAGGACGATACAAGCGCCAGAGCCAAGATGTTCCACAGGCTTCTTGTGCAACGAGACTCCAAGGATCCAAGGACAGCAAAAAGTCCAATCTTGTTGCAGTTTTTGCTCCCAAGCAACATGTCCTGGACAAGCCCCTCTTGTGGTAAGTAAAATCCCATACCTAAACGCTCGGGCTCAAGGTGAAACTAGTTCCTGTTGCCAACAGCAGACGGATGCAGGTGGCGGTCTCCAGCTTGAATGGATGGACAAAATTACCCAAGCTCAAAACAACATCTTGGGCGGAAGGAAAGGGAGGAATTGGCCAGCTGAGACTTTCCCACAAGTTTGCTCTCAGTCTGATGATGTCCTGTGGAACTCGCAGCCACAGGCCGGGAACTCTGATATTCCTAACAGCTTACGTCTGCGAATAAATGAGTGACATCTGCAAGAGACGATAAGAATGAAACCTTCAATCATATTCTACTATTATGTACGATTGACCTGCATCCAGCTTCAGGCAGTCTTCGCTGCATTGCATGCATTGACAGTCAGGTCAAAGGCCGCTGGGATTGCTGCATGCGCCAGGCCAGCATACCGGCGGGGATAATCCCACTCTAACATCATAAGGTTGAGATGTAAAACAAGTAGCAGGCAACCCCGTTAAACTCGAGTCGGCATTGTTTGTTTGGCATGTGATCCACTTTGGATGTTGTCTGGGACGAAGTGTGAAAAATGTCTCAGGCATTGGAATTTGAAATGCAGAGCTTCTGCGACTGCAATCTGCAATCTGAAACCCAACATATTAGCATCATTAGCAACAAGCTGCGTCATGCAGCGTCGGTTCTACTGTTCTGTGTCCGTGCTTGCAGCCGCACACTGAGGAGCACAGCTGTCGGCGTTCGCGCGACGAGCTGAAACACTTCTCCTCGTCGTCGCACACCAACGTGGTCATGAGACACGTGCCAGATGCCGAAACACAACATGCTTTGAATGATCCAGCTACTTGCAAATTATCCCAAAGCTTGCCGGAGGGCGGGTCTCATGATTCCCAGGACTGAACCCAGCAGTCAAAGTACACAAAAATCTCCTGAAGCTGAATCAATTCTGCTCCGTCTTTCTGGATGACATTGCCCAACAGCTCCAGGTGATTTTGAATGCAGCAGCTCTGCCCAGAAACGCGCACGCTGTGCCGTGCTTCAAAATAAGCCGCTCTAGAAGGCGAAACTGGTGAAAGTCCCTTGCAGGCCACGATGCAACTAGTGCAGCCTACTTCTCACCAGGCGGAATCGCTCTCAGATGTCGCACGCGGATCTGGAGAGAAGCAGCAACATCAGCAACATCAGCAACATTTAACCCGGACCTAGAGGTGCTGTCAAAGTTCAGTTGGATGTGCAAGAACTCACTGCAATTCAAGAAGAAATATCCATATGTTGTAAGGGATGCGCTTTTGGACAGGCACTCTCTCATCTCTGCCAGTGCTGCCCAGATGGCCTTAATGTATGCCTCTTGCTTCTTGGCGGAGTCGCTTGCATCCTTCAGAGCGAGTTCGCCCTCAAAGCCTCCAAACGCTTTGCAGCTTTGCAACAACAAGCGGAAATTGCGCATTCTGGGAAAGTTGTGCCTTTTGGATAGATCTGATCAAACGACAAATCGATGTAGCCCAGGAAATCGTCAGCTTTTCCTGTGTCCTGCCAAAGCTTGACATCTTCGCTGTGTAGCCCTGAAATGGAGGGCAAACAAGCCAGGCCATGGCAAAGCCTCAAGACGAATCAGCAGCTGACATCTTTTTCTGTCGCATCGAATTTACGAGTTGTCCTGGTATACCATTATCTGGCACAGCCTCTGCTTAGAGCCTACGCTGGCAACTTCGCACAAAGCAGCAATGTGCTTGGCAGTTCATAAGCCAACCATTGCCCTGGACGTTGGATGGCAAGCCGTCTTCTTTGCAACTTCTCCATTGAATTCTGATTCGAACCTCCTTTTAGTGCTGTTTAGTGTTGTTAAGCGCAAGCAATGTGAGCTTTTTATACATTTCTTTCTGCCTGGTTGATGTCAATGGTGGTTGGAGGAGCAGGACGCGAAACATTTCTGAAAGAGCTTCGTGCCATGCACAGCTCTAGCATCATGGTCACGACTTCACAGATCTGCAAGCCTTGAAGCAATGTGCCTCTCACAGCTAACAGTAACAGGTAACGAGGTAACGGCAGCTTGCCGGACCACGGAGCATCACACAGCTGGAAAGCGCCATTTTTTGCTTGGCCACTCCTAGGCCGCTCCTTGCTAGTCACATATTTGAGTATCAAATGAGCGCTTCTCAGATTGCACAGAGATGAGGGCAGGAGTTTCTCCTACCAGCCATCTTGTTCCACGGATCCACATATGCTACACCCTCAGTCATCAAGGCCTGCCAACATAGCAGCTTTTTCTTCTGACACTTCACGCTGCCAGAAGATTGCGTGGCCATGCCGCATAGTCCGGCTGTTGGGGCATTGAGGCATTAATCGGTAGGCGTGTCCTGCCTCTTGCCCTTCAAGCCTCCCATCTTCTTCTTGTTGAGCAAGCCTATTAGCACAAGAACATGGATTTGCGAGAGACTGTTGACGATTGCTAGCTTAGATGCCCCGTGGACGGCCCGAGCACATGCCAGAGCAATGGGAGATGCCAAGGCCCGCGCTGGCAAAGTCACTCTTGCCAAGCTTTCCACGCCCACCGCCCAGGCCAGCGAGGCCTCCGGAGCCTCGTCATTGCCGGCAAGGCCAGGGCCAGGTTGCTCTTTCAATACCCGGACATAACTATGACCAAGGCCGCCGGCCTCCCTTGCCCTTCTGCTTCATGAACTGATAGCCTGCACATGCTGCGCAGCTTTGAGCAGCCTTCAGGTATCTGTCGCAACCTGGGAAAAGAGCCTAGCAGAAGAACCACTGCGCAGGCCATCACCGGCAGCTTGAAGTTGGAGAATGGGTCGCTGTTGGCAGGCGGTGTGTAGACCTTTTCATAGGCTGCATGCTTGCGCACTTCGCTCAGCTAAGTAGGCTTTGGCAAAACAGCCGACGCAAGGAAAGGAGACGACTGTAGCAACCGTCCAGAACTGAAAGACACAACAGCAACACTTTATGGTGCGAGCTGCTAGCAAACAAGCAAAAGTTGAGACCAATTGGACACATGCAACGCCGAACTCATATCTGCGCCTGCATCAGGATTTCCAATATCTCAACCTCTCGCCCGTCGTCGGAAAGAAGAGCTACTACATCTCCGTGCTGCTTTCGTTGCACCTATGCCAGGAGCTTGGGCGGGCAAAGAAGCAAGCAAGACTGGCAACCAAGTTCTCCCAGCAGAGACCCCAACGCTCCAGTCCCGAATAGGTAGTCTTGGCCGCCGCCAAATCACATGACCGCCGGGACCTGCCGCCAAACGCCAGCCGCTCTCTCTAGCATCCATCGCATGAAGCTTTGTCAAGGACCCTGCCGCAGCACTTCAAGCACATTAGCTACACATAGCCGGGCCTAGCTCTCCAGGACGTCTTCTACCCATGTGCTGGCTCATATTCAAAGCCTGGCACCGGCAACTCAGCTTAGCAGCCTTCGCTGCGCCTTAGACTCAGTCGTTCCAAGGCCGGTGCCAACAGGGATGACGTTGGAAACTCTGACGGGGTTGACTTCTGTAACCCGATCACCTCAGCATCTCACGCAGCACGATGAGCATCCTGAAGCCGGCAAAGCATCCTCATGCCCAAAGAAAGAACTGCATCGCAGGCACAAAGCCACGAATAGCGGAGAGCTCCAGAGGCACCTGCTGGTATGAAACACTGCCCAAGCTTTGGGAGCCAGAACTGCAAACGTCACCAGAGCTCAAACTTGCTGGCTCTGATGACACGATCCGAAACGTTAAGCTGACAGATGAACAATCTCCAAAGTCGACGCGAAGCATAACAGCATGGTTAGGGAGTAACATCATTTGATGTTGTGCAACTGTTGCTTTCGCCTTTCGCGACTCATTGCCCGAATACCGCTAGGATGCAGGACGCTGTGTTTTTCGAGTTTCAACGAAGTAGGAGAGTTTCGAGACTTCCCCTTAATTGATGTCTGTCTTCGCTGGCCTACGCTACGTCGTGTATTCTCTTCCTCCTCTTCCTTGTGCTTGCACTTGACTCCCGCATATTTTGCTTTTCTCCTGCAAAGCACAAGGGCAGTCTTGGATGACGGCTCCTGCCCCGTCCTGAAAACTTTTGTGGCACATGTGGGCCATGTTGGCCACATTATTCTCTAAGGAAGACAGGTTGCCGGCATCCTGGGTCTCTGGGTGGCGGGGCCTTCTGGCCTTTTTCGACTTCTTCAGCGTTGCATCTTTCTGATCAAGAATGCGTTGCATCTGATCTCAGGTGACGTTTTCCTGTTAGCTCCAAGTATGTTGATGCTTTGATCCTTTCTCATGGCCATTCGTTATTGATAAACTAAAACAGATCTTCTCTCACTGGAACAACCTGCACTCCGTGAGCTCCAGGTTCAAGAGGGCAGCAAGAAGAAGATTTTGTGCAATGTTGTGCACACAGGCTTGCTTAAAACGCCAAGTTGACTAGCTATAGTCCGCACGACACATCCACAACCCACATATGAAGGTCATCGAAGTGTATCACCGCTTAACTCATCAGCACAGCCTTGTAATCTGTGGCATGGGGAAACTTCTTCTCGAACTCGCAGTCCTTGCGGTTCTTGACCTCTGCGCCAAGAAAAAAGGCCTGGGGGCCTGGGACGGCGTCTTGTGTAGGCAAATGTGTTTGTAGAGTTTTGCTAATATGGATTAGCACCCTTCGGAGCACCACCATTGACAAGATGAACCTAACCCCTAGCGGTGATTTTGGCTGTTCCGCCATGTGCTCTGGCTGAGACGTTAGACACACTTGACGGCCAGATCTGCACTACGTTCTGCAGTATCAAAACCTAGTGTAAGGTTTCGAGTGGCAATCCGAGGCAATCATAGGAAAAGGATGGCAGCTTTTGGTACACAGTACTGCCTGCTAAAAGACCTAGGACCCATGTGTCTCAGGACATTTCTCTCACGCACTCCTGCTACTCAGCCGTAAGTCGCCACAGAGTGACGAGGACAGTAAGAGCTCACTCGCTGCTACAAGCACAGGCTCCACTACAAACTCGTTGGGGAAGTAAGCAGCAGACGTTGAAGACCCAAACCTTCGCAAGACAAGCACGGCGCTGCAAACAATTCTGGCGCAGCGCTTCGGACCGAAGATCTTACATGTCTTGCCGGCAAGGTGCTGCGCCGCTTTCATCTGACAGAAGTACCTCAAACAAATCCAATTGTACCCACTGAAATCCTAGTGATCTGAATCGGACATGCATTGACAGGCTCAATTGCGAGTATTCTAAAACGCGACCCCAGCTGTGCAAATGGCATTCCCGGAGCAAACGTCACAAGCTCTGCGCTCAACAAAGGACAGTGTGGTACACGTGCAAACAGCTCTCTGGGGCACCTTTGAAAGCTGCTGGCTGTCGACTGTAATTGCAGCAACTCGGCCCTGCCATGAAAGCAACGACGTGAAACATGTGAGAAGCAAAAAACGACGAATCCTTCGAGCAATTTGCAAGCGAGGGCTGTCCTGCCTCGAACTTTGGACAATCGATGTGCTTCACTTCAGCTTTGTCAAGGTTCACGTAGCCCCACTCCATGCCAGCACGGAAGATCACTTGGCTATGAAAGGAGTGCAGGCCTTCCACACCTGGACCCTCCATGGCTGTTGCGTCGACCTGATTCTTCAAGGTGCCATTCTTGGCAAATACGCTAATACGCCCCATGGAATCACCCGCGACGATCTCCCGAGTGCTCTTGTGGTTGGCAATAGCTAAGGCGCTTAAGCTGCCATCTCCTCCAGGAAGTTGGAGTTGCCTCTGGAGTTGACTTGTAACGTTCAGCTGAGGGCCTAAGTATTGCGAGAGCTTCTCATCCGAAGAGTTGGATCTCGTTGCCCGCTCCTCCTTACTGACACGACGCTGCCTCACAGAGATTCTGTGGACTCGAATTGATCCACCGGCATCTCCTGTAGCCAGTAGGTGCTCCTCATGTGTTGGAGAGGTTGCTATGTGCGTGATTGGTGCGTCGTGGCCAGCCTCAAAAGTGAGCAAAAGCTCACCACTGGGGCTGAAAAGCCGAACATTCCCCTCAGCATGTACCGCTGCCAATATGCATGTTGGCGTCTGTGACTGCGGCGATGAGGACGGGGATGATGCTGTTGAAGGCCGCGGATTGCGCAATAATAGCCATTCTATGTGAGCTACGGGCTCCGCCATGGGGAGGACGGTTTTTGTTACCAAGAAATCTTCAGCTGCTGCAATAGGCGCCCTGTCGCCTTGACCAGCAATCTCTGACAGCAACGGGAGACCCTCCGTCAGTGCCTGCGTCTGTGCAGCAGACAGTGGCAGGCCTTTGCCATCTGTTGCGGCTCCTTCAGGAAACCGATGAGAAAGTAGTTTGACATGTACATGGCTCACGACTCATGCTTCACGGGCACTCTAATTTCAAGGTCAGGCTCCTTGGAGTTCCTTAAGGAAAGCCATGCGCTCGTCACCCATTTTTATAAGCATCTTCAACTCCTCCATTTCCTGCAACCACCAGGGATCGATCATCGCTGCTTGAATCTACATATGCCTTTACGGGAACCCCAGCCGGGCCCCAGCCTGCGTGATGAGGTCCGACTGTGGAGAAGCTGGTGCTGGGACCGCTGGGACGGGTACAGGGCTTGCCTCGATGAAAAAACAGGTTGCTAACACTTTCCAAGCCATGTAGACATCTGCTTTTCCAATTTGGGCCCTGCCTTCGCAGGTCTGGGTGGTGTCTCTGGCTCTCGACAGGCTGCACCTTCAGCATACCAAATGAGCCTCTAAGACTGCAGCTTTGCAAAATCCTGTTCAGTGTGCGGACATATGTAGACCACAAGCCTGCAGGACCTGCTGGGCAGCTGTCCTGGAAGGTCTAATGCCATGAGCTTGCCATCTGCAGATGCTGCATTGCGCTGGGCAACCCTCTAAGACCCCCAGGCCGCACCCGCTTACAGAGAGCAACGCAGGGGAACAAGAATTGGCACTTGCAGGAGCAAAACGGGCAACCAGAACTTGGCTCCTCTGCCCAGGCCATGGTCCAAAGCAGCAAAAGGAGGAAGCATTTCGTCCGCCCCCTCCTGGAGGGCACACTACGAAATGCTTCAGCAATTGTCTGATGTGTGTGGGAAGCCTGCAAAAACAACAGATTGGCTGGCCTCATGGGCCTGGCGACAGGCGTCTCCATGCGGCTGTTCCCACTTGATCCGCAGGTCCGCTGGGAGCCATGGAAACGGCGCCGGGTCCAACAGAACCATGCGCTCAAGTATGGAACTCGACGATTGGTCTCAATCACGAAACATCAAAGCATCGCAACACCATCGAGGCCCTGGAGGCCTTGAATGAAGCGTGTTAGCCCCTTTCTGTAAAGATCTAACATGCTTGGAGTCTCGCTAAGGATGTTTCGCAATCAAGACATGCATGGGAAGCCCATCAAGGGTTCTCAAATTTGGCAAGCTTGAGCACCTGCACCCCTGCTGTCGCCTGCCTGGTCATAGATGGAGAACTTGAGACAGTCCCCCTGACCAAGCTGCATCTTTGCCGCTTGGTTCCAGACCTAGCAACAGCTTTCAGGGCCTGCGTCTGCCGAAGTTAATTAACCAGGACATTCTGGTTTTTGAGAGATCGAGCAGGGTGAGAAACGTTAGCAAGGCTTCTTTCTGCTACCACCATGTTCACATTTTGCTTTGTTGGCTGCACATCCTGGCCAATCTGGCAGAGACCCGCATGGCTGGCAATCAAGCTAAAGTGCTGAATTGAGAACCCCTCCCTGGGTGTGCAGTTGAGATGCCCGAGCAGAGAACTATCTAAGCACACTGAGTGGGAAACAGGGCTCTCTTTGTTCTTCACCGTCTTCGTCTTGAACTTGGATTTGACCTTCGGTGGACTCTGGCCCTTTGGCACTCTTCTTGTTTGGACTTGTGCCCACCTTCCCGATGGACTCACAGAGACAGTACGGGTCGGAGGTTCCCTCCAGCCAGTCCGCATCACGGAGGCCCCGGGCTGAGACACACTTCACCTTCCAACCACTCCGTCACGCAAAGACAACTACCACAGCTCCATCCAGACCTCAAACTCGTAGCGGAGCTCCCCCTCCGGCTTGGCTGGTTTTGCCGGCCTGAAGCATTGAACTCCGTGGTGGCCCAGCAGACAACAGCGCCGAGCCAGAAAACAATCAGGTATAGACTCTCGAAAGGCAGACCCGGTTGCCAGTCACACGGCTTCGTTAGGCGGAAGAAATGCTGACAAGCAACTTCGGGGACTTCTCCTTCTCCTCCTCAGAGACTTCAGCCTCGCTTGCTCTGTGCATGTTGTCAAGCTCGAGTTTTGAGGTATACCACTAAGCTCTCCCACCTTTGCCTCCGGCCCCTGCTCTGGCTTAGCATCTGCTGCCTTGACATCCTGCAGATCCAAACTTAAACAACTTGGCACACGGCTTCCATGCCACCCTACGCTGCACCCTACGCCCTCTTCTCCAGAACATATTGAAGACACTGACAGCTTCACAACTTAAAGCCCCACTCCTCCTCCAGGTCTGGCTTTGTGGGCGTCTTTGGCGCTGCGGCCTTTTTCCTAAGCACAGGAGTCGTCCACATTTCAAGTGCAGGCATTGGAGGGCTTGACAAGTTGATTGATCTTCCGCCGCTTGTTATGCTGCATATACTGGCCATCATAAACAATTTGGAGTTTAGGCACCCTTAGCCCACGTTGCACAATCTTTTGTAAGGCTGCTGACTCCTACAGTGGGCTCAAAACAGGCGAGTATCGAAGAAACCTTCTTTTTCGCTTTTGCTTCGGCCTCCTGCTTCAAGCTTTGCAGACAAGTAACGGGCGAACCTACAAGCTGAAGCGCATCGTTCCGCACTCATGCCACTGCTGGGCTCAAACTGGATGACTTCCCCACAGCCCAGTCCTTAGCTTTCTTCGCCTCCTCCTTAGAAGAATTTCAACAGGTTGAGCTGCGGACATCTCCCAACCTGCCCCCAGCAGGCCTCAGCTGCTTTTCGTTGTGCTTCTTCTTTTGCCTTTCGCTCGTCTTCTGCAGCCTTCTCGGCTAGCTCCTGTAGCCCTGGCACGCGTATGAAAGTCCGTGGTCACGCACTGACATGGACCATAATGATAGCGCTCGCTTAGCTCAACAATTAGGGGCCCCTGCGCTGAGCGGCTTCGGCTTCTTTTTGCTTCCTTCGCGAGGCTCATGAGCAAAGCACTCTTCCTTTACAGAACTTCATGTGCAAGCGAGTCGCTGGAGCGTCACGTAGGCCTCTGCCTACAGCGAGGAACTAAGCTTCTGAGAAGGCCGTTGCTTTTTTTATCGAAGCAGAAGGCCTCACTTAGCCAGAGTGGCTTTCCAGTTGGTGGAATGGGCTGATCGCTGAGGCACTTCCTTGGAATTGCCAGAAAGAGCTTGCTAAAGCATTCTCTTTTGCAGGGAAACTCAAGCATCACCCGTGCTAGCGATACCGGTACATCAAGACGGCACAGAACTGTCAGGCCTTCGTATGTTCTGATGCATTGGCTGCCAGGAAGCCCGTGGCACAGCACCAAAGGGGGAGTGGAACTGGGAAGCAGAACTGCAAGACGAACTGGGCTCGGACTGGACTAATGACATTTTCTTCGCTTGTAGTGTTGTCAGAGCAGGCTTTGTGCAGTCAACCTTGTGGGATCTGGCCAGATGTCCTTAAAAAACAGCCCATCGACTCGGGCAATTTCCGGCAGGTGGAGGTCCAAGGTTTGCAAGCCTGAAGCACGAGGAAAGGAGCGATCAGCTATCGCATCTTTAATATTTTAGCATACAGACTACCGCCGGATGCAGCTGGCGAACAAAGGAACCAACCGCCCCAAGGGCCGCACTCCAGCATGCAATACACGCAAGCAAAGTGTCATTAGAGGTATGGTTTGCTGCATTTTCAGGGCCGAAGTCCGGACCTGTCCCACACTCAAAAATGCGCTTTCAGCGTCATTGCCAAGGCATAGGCATTGCAACATACTCAGCTGGCAGTGATCCTTGTAATACCCTGCACCTGTTTTTGCTTTCAAAGCGTCGTTTCTGCAACAGCTTCAGCTGTGCCACCCACCTCCTGCAAGAGGGATTTAGGCTTTTCTTTCATGCACCGGCCAGCACGAATGTAGACAAAATTGCACTTCAGGCCTGAACTGCGCAGCATTTTTGTTGCACAGCACCCATGTCCCTTAGAGCTCGCTGCGCTCAGAACTTTGTTTCCGGAAGCACGCAACTAGTCCAAACACTCCTTGGCTGAGTGGCAGACTCACTGGACAAGATCACACCCTTCCAAATTAAAGCATGAACACGTGCTATTGCACGCCCCTAGTTCTTGTCTGGAATGGAAGCGAGCGGCGGCATGACTGCATCAGTACAACTTGAGTTTTGCTAGCTAGAACACCAATCGAACACCATCCCTCCTCTTACCCATGCCGCTTGCCTCACAGGCCTGCGACAATCAAGCTGCAAGACGCATCCTCATGCTTGTTTTGACCGCTGTGGGGCGTGGTGTCAACACTGAAGTGCAGCGACCACACCATAAAGACCCCCTGCTCCTTAGGGAGAACCTTGGTGAAACTATGTGTGTGCAATGGCGATAGTGTTTCGCCTTCAACAAAGTTGGATGAGGGGTGAAATCTTGGCGTGCGAGGCCAAGTCCAACTTTCGTTGGTCTGCACGCTCCACACTCTGCACTCGCAACACCATGCCATAGTACTTTGGCTGTTCAAGCGGCACCTATGAACTGAGGTGGCTTTCCTACAAGGCATCCATGCTGCCTAGGTGTAGGTGGAAGTGCCGAGCTGGATGAAAGATGCAGCTTCGGGACCCGTTGCCCACGAGCTAATGCGCTGTCATCAGTACACCATCTCATCAAACCCCCTGCAGTAATGGAATGAGACAACATGTCTCTCCAAAGACTGGGTCATCTTTTGATGCCTACTACAAACGGTTCGCGCAAATTACATGCAAATGCTACGCCTGCGACTGGTGCTACATCGCAGGCAAGCCGTGTGAGTGCACTCTGCCAATACAGCAGCACAAAGCGCGAATTTAGCATGTTCATAAGTGTGAATCACTTGTTGTGCTTGCAGTGCAGCTGCGGCTTGAAAGAACCGATTGGGGACACCCTTGTGAGCCCTCGCATGTGCGGGTGAACCAAAAAACATGTCGAATCGATGGCCGAAGTAGTGCTCAAAAGAGGGCCGCGTCTTGTTCTAATCACGTAGATTGTTCCATCAGATTGACGACCATCATCCGGCTGCAGAAAGCATGTGTCAAGCAGCAACACGGCCAGGTCTGGTTTTAAAGAGATCAAGTTAAGCCTGATCCATTTATATTAGCTGACCTGGCAGAAAAGCAGCTCGCCATGGAAAAGCTAGAAGGACCACTACAAAACTCAGGCCTCATGTCCTGCGGCAGAAAAGGCTCCCTGTACGCGCACGCGAACCTGCAACGTTGACAGCAAGCTTTCTAACTCATGCAGGTTTCAAGCAGTGCGAGGGGCTGCCACTGAGACCAGCATAGACCATATTGGCACTTGCTCCGGGCCTTGATCCCTCCACCCGGAACCTGGCGGCACAGCGGCTACAATGGCATCATCTCCTTCAAAGCGCCTGGGCGAATACCTACGAGTCTCGCAGCATCTGAACTTTAAATTCCCAGATTGCAGCAGTACTTCGTGCTGCAAGATGACGTGCGCCGGTGTTTACAGCTGTTCAACAACTTCTTGGTCACCCGTCAGAAGCACAAAGATTCCTGGCCTGTTTGCCGGAGCTGTCTTCGAGTGGTATCTCGTCTTCAAAACCTCCACTCTGTGGCCGTCGGGCTTGTGTCGTGAGGTGTTCGCAGCTTCCACTACTGTTGCCACAGCTGGGTGGCCACAATTCTAGAGGGAGATAAGCTAGGGAAGGTGACTAGCAAAAGCGGTGACCCTATCTCAACAAACAGCTCAGTTGAACAGCTTCAACGGAGCCTGAAGGAACCATGCGATCGAAGTCCAGCATGGCTCTAGCAAAGAAAGATGTCGGATCATCGAGGTCCTCTTGGGTCACTCTGCTTTGCAGGCTTGACGTCTTCAGACTGGCAAAGCCCAGCGAAGCCGAAACCCAGTCCGCATCTTGCACTCGAAAGGTGAGGAAGTCTCCGCGACCAATTTGAAGCTTGGAGGCCTGGTTCCAAACCTGAGATGGGCTACAAAATGTTTTTAATGAGACTGACCGAGAGCTTTAGGTTGAGGGCCTCCATTCACTTACGGATAATGCACAGGCTGAACAAGTCTCGCAGTTGCCGCCAAGCATCCGCTTTTTCCCTTGAGCTCGAACTCTTGGTTCGGAATTTGACAGGGTTGTTGCCTGGCAGGCCAATAGACCCTGAATCAGGCCAGAAGCAGACTTTTAGGGGCTTATGTAGTGCTGTGACAGCCAAGCTGCATCTTGCAAGGCCCACAACCTCAGCTCAAGCGGAACGATTGAAAATGGAGCAGTAAGATTTGCAACTGGCACCTTGCTGTCTGGAAATTGCGCACTGAGGAGCAAAGGGCCTGTCTCCAGTCTCTGGCACCTTCACGGCGGACACGATTTTGACCTGCAGGCAGCTTGACACGCAACTGATATGGAAAAAATGAGAGTGCACTTGCCATCAAGTTTTGCATGAGCCTCCAGAAGGTACCGCACCTGGGACCTGTGAAGACTTGTCAAGTACGACCATATGCTCGAGCAACATCTGCTTGATGGGAGCCGGACGGGTCTTGAGCTTTGCTAAGAACCTCTGCAGGCACAGCTTGGGCTTGCAAGCTTCACGAGCAACAGCTCAAGTTCTTGACAGCACCGCCTCGTCAATGTCTGCCTGCACCTGGGCCGGTGAGTTCGTCCTGCTGGTCGCAGCCTTGCCAGCCGCAAAAGCTTGTCACCCAGACTTCCCTGGGAACATGTTTGTCCACTGGTCAGCTAAGCGCCGGACAACAGGGGGCAGAAATGGCGGCGCAGCCTGTTCGCTCTTACCCTTTGCAATGCACGCGCTCTTTGGCTCTGGTGACCATGAGAGGATCACAACTCCTGGAGCTGGCCGCGGGTCTTGCTACTGCACTCGTCATCCTCTACTTGCCAGGGCTGCACAGCCCCCAACCCTTTCTGGGATAGTCAGCGTAAATGTCGTGATCTTTGGGTTTGAGCACCATTGACCGTGCCATCACGGCAAGCTGCCAGGAGCCCGTTAGTGATCCGCATGTGATGAGCCGCATCCAGCCTTCGGGGCTTCTTGCTCCTTGGGCACAGCCTGCATCAAGTTGCAAACACATCCTGGATCTGCTTGGACTGTAGCAGGCCACCAATGCGACACTTTCAGCTGCAGCCTTAGCCACCTCTATGTCCTTCCTGTCCACCTGCAAGACTTAGATCACGAAAGGCAGGTGCCACCAGGGTGGACATACTGTTGAATCCTCTTGTCGTGCCTCTTTCTTCGAAGAGGCCAGGGGTTCCTGAATTCACAAACATTCACGAGGAGGGTTCTTACGGGTCGCTCCCTCAGTCCCAGGGCTTCAAGAAGGGAGCGAAAGCAGTGTGCAGGGCATGCTGTCACCAACTGCGCCTGGGGCTTTTCATGTCCAGCCCTTTTGGCCCTTAGCTGTGGCAGGGTGAGCAGCGTATGATTATCAATGAAGGCTACAGCGTAGCGGCTACAGCCCATGCAGATCTGTGCAGATCTGTGCAGCCTGGAGGCTGTGCTGCCTGCGCTGAGTGCACTTCACCTGCTGCACCTCCGCCTCCCTGGCAAAAGAAAGGCCCATCGGCAGTAAGGCCCCTCTACTCGGAAAGGCAATCAAAAAAATAAGGATCAAAAAACACTTTTGCTAAATATCAAAGAGAAACTTTTTGAGGATCAAGAAAAGGCAAGAGACTTTCTCTCTGTCAAAAAAACGTCATGGTCGCGAAATGCGGAACTGTCCTCACTTTTGGATTGCTCCCGTCATCAAAAATTTTCTCTGATCAAAAAACAACTTTCTGTGTGAAATTAGGAATCCTGACAAGGATCGTCGTGTTTAGGTCGTTATCCTCCCAATTGTCGTCACTTTTAGCCCCGCAGAACCCCTCAGATCGCGGGGGTCGAGGTCACGATCCTCGTAACGGTCGTCGCTTTTAGCCCCTGAGAAACTCTCAGATGTTCAAAAGTGTCGTCCGTCACAGGAATGGTGGGGGTCGGGGTCGCAATCTTCGTAACTGTCGTCGCCTTGCTTGAGACCCTCGGATGATCTTGGGGCTTGAAAAATGTTAGCAGTCACTCGGATCGTGGGAGTCAGGGTCACGATCCCCGTAACTGTCGTTGCTTTTAGACCCTCAGAACCCTTCGGATTCTTAAGAAGTGCCAATCGTCACAGGGATCGCAAGGGTTCGGGTCGCAATCCTCGTAACTGTCGTCGCTTTGAAATCCTCGGATCCTCTTGGAGCTTGAAAATGTTAGCAGTCGACACGATACACGTCATTTCTTGCCATCATGGATGGCCTTAAAAAAGCGGGCGGGTTGGGGGGGGCAAACCCCCCCGCATCTGCAAACAAAATGAGAGGCACAGCCCCTGGTGCAAACACAGCCTTCCCTTAGTGCCAACGGTGACAACACGACACTTGTCATTTCTTGCAACAGGGATCGCCTCAAAAACGCGGGGGTGTTGGGGGGGGGGAACCCCACCCCCACTTGCAAACAAAATGAGCGGCACTGCCTCCCCTTACTGCCAACATGGTGAGGACACGATGATTACTTGTTATTTCTTGCACTCATGGATGGCATTAAAATGCCGTAAAAAAGCGGGGGGGTTGGCCGGAGCGGCCGCCCCCCCATCTGCAAACGAAATGAGTGGCACAGCCTCCCCTTAGTGCAAACACAGCCTCCATGGACTGCCTACAGTGACGACGCGATACTTGTCATTTCTTGCAAGCATGAATCGCCTAAAAAAGCGGTGCGGTTGGGCGGGGCGCAGCTCCTCCCTTTTGCAAACAAAATGAGCTGCGCGGCCTCCCCCCTAGTGCAGAAACAACCTCCCTTACTGCCGACATGGTGATGATACGATGCTTGTCATGTCTTCATGCATGTCTGTTAGGGAATGTGCTATTTGGGTGATGGAGAACCCAAATGAAGAAGGAAATGGAACAGAAATAATAGCGGTGATTGTATGAGAAGTCTCTAGGGAGATTTACCCTGGCGCATGTGGTCCCAGTAGCTCCCTGCTCCTAGGGTAGGTTTGCAGCGGTCTAATGATCTCTATGGATTTTACAGGAACCATATAGGGATCAAGGGTCATTGTCCAATTATTTCTATGGCTGTATTAGAGCATTCAGCATCTAGGGTAATCAACAAAACATTCAGAGCTATCCGTGCTAAACCCCGATATAAGCCTGTTTCCATTTGATGTTCCAGCTCTTTACACTTGATTCTCCACTGTAGGGGGGGTCAAATCCCTTCATAAACTACTTCCCCACTTACCCAGCAAGGCCCCAAAAATACCTGAGCTGTGAAGCCTTCGTTCCTTCCTTCCTTCCTTGCCTTCCTTGCCTTCCTTCCTTGCCTTCCTTCCTTCCCTCTTGGCTCGTTCCTTGGTTCGTGCCTTCCTTCGTTCCTTCCTTCCTTCCTTCCTTCCTTCCCTTTTGGTTCGTTCCTTGGTTCGTGCCTTCTTCTCCGAGTCACGCTTTTGATACTTGTTTAATCTAACGCTGCATTCTACGATATTCTTTCTATGCGGCTGGGCAGACAAATTTTCGAAGGCGATACGGCATGTCCACAATATCCCCAGCCTCAAGATTCCTTTGGACACCATAGACTTGCATATCATATATTTGGAGGAAAATCAATCCTTCATAATATGATTCGCGATGAAATTTATAGAACTCTGCAGGGAGGAAACCTTCATTGCAGATTGGAAATCAATCATCCTTCCTTCCTTCCTTCCCACCCTCTTGCTTTCTGTGTCTGTATTTCAAGCGGAAAGTTATTTTTGATCCGAACTGTTGATCTGCCTTCCTTCTTTCCTTCCCACATTCTTGCCTTTTCTGGTCATACTTCCAGCGTTGATCCGGAAAATGTTTCTTTGATACGGAAAAATTGTTTTTTTGATTGGCATCCCCCTCTGCACAGGCAGCAAGCCGCCTGCCGCTCTTTGTGGGCTTCATCAGCCACCTTTTCAGCAGCTTCGATCCGAGCCTGCAGGGAGCTCAAAGCGTTTATTGGTTGCGCTCACCCAGCTCACCCAGCTCACCCGACCTGCCGGGCGGCAGCCTCCTGGTCTCTCCGCTGCTGACGCTTCACGGCTTCCTGGCATTGTTGGGTGTACGTCTTGGGTCACAGCTCGGATTCGCAACACCTTGCCTCCTTCAAAGCCTCCACATCATGCTGCCACATTGTAAGCCGGGATACATCGTCGTCATCCTGAGGGCTGCTGAACTGCGGGAGTCTTAGCATTTTGATCCTTGCTGGAAGATCCTTCGGCGTGCGTGGAGAGCGATAAGCTTCCCCTGGCTGACCGCAGGGCTTCCCATGGGAGACGCAGTTGGCCCCCATTCCTGGTGTAACATGGAGCTTGTCAACCGCATACACGACTTCAGCGCATTTCAGCGCAAGACAAGAGTACACATTGTCTGCTTGCCGCTTAACGAAAAAAAAAAGTGACTGAGGCAATGGCGGCAGCGCCTTGCGGAAGAAGATTTGCTACCCTGCTTGAAACAGAGCTTTTTAATACTGTTGCTGAGTGCTGGCTTGCCGTTTAATCACCCTGCAATTTTAGAAATGAGGTTGCCCGTGAAGTGAGATGACAACTCGTATTCCAGCTATTCTACGCGGCCTACAAGCCTGTTCCATCTGAAAGCCGCGTAGCACACAGCAGCAGAACTGCAATGAAGCGACTCCGCCAGTCATGTCTAGTGACTCCCTTGCTTGCTCATGTCAGCTTCGTCCCAGACACTTTCACGAGTAGCCTCACAGATCTCGCCTGATCCGTGCTCCGGATTTCTCCAGCTACTCCCTGTGCACTGTACTCTCCAGTGCTCAGGGTTGAGACCCCATTTCACCGCCTGGGTAAGAAGTCACCTTCCAACCGGATAATTGGATCTGCACCCAACAAATTCTTAGCCTGGCGATGCCCTAGATCTAGCTACCTAGCTTCCCCTCCTCTCCTCCACGCGCGCAGCGCAAGTAGAGGACCAATGGAAGCAGCACACCATCTGTGGCTGCAGTATCTCTGCATTGGAATACTATCAAAACATGCTGGGGAGGCCCTATGGCAACCTGGGCTCCCTCACCGCTTAGGGGCAGCAATCATACTTGTATGCAACTAAATGCCAAAGGTCTTGGAAACTCTAAAAGCGGCCTGTAGATCATGCAGCCCTTCTGTTGCAAAGTCCACAAGGGACTATGGTGAAAACCAACGCAGGATGGATAATCAACCTGCCAGCTGAAGGCATGCTCCAGCGGTCTTCAGACGTACGTACTCGCATCGCGGGCCAACGAGGCTGTGGTCACTTCCTATGCACCGCCAGCCTGAGATTTTCAGAGCACGCGCGACACCACAAGCTTTTGCAGGCCTATGCCAAGTGGCAGATTTCAGGAAGTGGTTGATAACCCTTGCCTTGCCTGCAAAATGCATGGCTGCTCCCAGCTGGCGTGCGGACCAAAAAATTGGCTCTCAGCTTGGGCCTGAGGCGGCCTTCTTGGATGTTGCCTTCGTCTTGGCATCCTTTCGAGAAGCTGGCCTTTTCTTGCTTGCACCTCGGTGTCTCTTTTTACCTCTTTGCATCTGGGCTCTTTTACATTCTTTTACATAAGCCGACAATCTGTCTTCCTTTGAATGAATATAATTGTCCTTCTGGTTTAATTATGTTTCGGCCAATTCGTGCTAGAGAACTTCGGAGGCAGAACCCAGTTTCTGCTGATCAAGGTGTCGCACAAATTTGTGAGCGGATCCGTGGCCCGCATCGAGCTGAAGCAGCGTGTTATGAAAATGCAGACTCTCAGACCATATGTTTCAAGAAGCTTGCAATGGCCATGGTAGCCATGGCTTCGAGGCCCGTTCTTGTGAGATCTGGTCAGCATTCTCTGGCAGTAGAATATTTTGAATGATCAGGTACACAACCAGAAAATCACTGTGTGTTGAGGAGGCGGCGAGGGCTTCCTCGCGACGATTGCTGCTTCTCTTCGCCTGGGCAGCAGGAGCCGAAGCAGGCCACGCATCTGCAACATTTGTTGCTGCACGCAAGCACAGAGCGCAGCAACCGATCAAATGCGGCGTTCGAGATGATGCCCATCTCGACTTTAAACCTTCAATCACGTATCATGCGAAGAGCCCACCTTCGTAGTCGTCAGCGTCATCCATGTCTTCTGCAGAGGCTCCCTTCCACCTGGCCCAGGCTGACAGTGATGACTTGTATAGTTTCCAACCCAATAATGGTCGTGTCTTGCATCCACATGTGTCTGTTTGGCCCATCAGGCTCCGAAGACTCCAACTGCAGCTTTGCGCCTCAGGATCACTTCGTTCTTCCTTTTCGGATTCGCGGAGAAAGATCCTCGCAGCTGTTGCAGCACAAAGGCCAATCCAGAATCGCTCCTTTGCTCACCCACCGCAGCCCTACAGTCAGCTCGAGCCGCATGTGAGTTGGTAGTATGCCTCTGACAGTTGGCCAACACGCTTACCTGAAACGATACGTTCCAGGCAAGTGTGAAGGAAATCCAATGCAAAAAACTAAACGAGGCTAGCAAACAGTTCACCCAATTCCTGGTCATGCCTCGACTGAATATCCTACTCAGCAGCAAGCACAATTGTTGGCAAATAGCTCTGATGTTGCTCTACACGGATCCTCAACGGCCGGTAGAACCAGTAGAGACACGTCCTGGCCACTTCTTCTTGAGGATGGCGATGTTCCTTTGCTCCTTCGAGGGATGCAAATGGGAGCTGGCTCTTCTTATATCAGACTTCTGGACAGCCAACGTCTTTCTCAGCCCCAAATCCTGAACACCATGTAAGGCTGAGAGTCCTCCACACCCTTGTTGTCCCGCATTGCAACAGCACCACCACCTTGCTACAGGCAAGCTCGTGTCTGATCTTACGTCATGCGGCACAAGGATGTACAAGGCTGCAGCCTCATTCAACCTACAGTTGCTACAGCTTGACTGACTTTGCAATGAATTCAGAAGCTGCAACGGCAACGCCATCACTCATTCTGCAACCTCAATACCTGAATGCAAGTTTCCAATCTGGAACCCAGAAACGAGAGGTTGGCAACCAAAGCTAAGATGACAAGCAAGAGTTAAATCAAATGCGAGCTTCCTCAAATTATCTTCGTGTTCAACAACCCTTGCCGTGCAAACAGCTTGCTTATATCTTGCACAACCCTCAGCAGAATGGGACGCTTAGGCACAGACAGTTGCTGTAGTGCTTGACAGTCAGAGTCATTCGATTGCAGCGCAAAACAGAACCGTGCGCCTGCGGGGGAAATGCGACATGACAGCCTTCCCGGTTGCGGTGAAAGCGGGGGGATGCTGTTAAAGCTGCCGTACAGTAGCATCAAGAACGTCAGACAAGTCCGTGAAATTCCACAGCCGCAGCTTCCAAACCACACGGACGTACTGCTGACAAGGGGTGGGAGAGTCCGCCTTCAGATGCGCGCAGGTGAAATCATAGTCTTCCTGACAGGGCATGACAGCTGGCACCGCTGACCTCCTGAGCACACCATCGCGAGACAATGAGAACCATCTGGCCTTCAGTTTCATGTTCTCATCAAATCGCACCGTAGAACCCTTGTCCACCACGAAAAAGTCACCTTATCGTTTGGGCATGCAAGCTGCGATGTGCCCTCAGCCTGAGGTGGGCTTGCAGCCAAGATTCCCAAGATGAAGCTCTGCGTGACAAATTCAGCACCTGAAGCAAAGACACGGTCTTCACAGACAGAAGTCGCAAGTGGGAGGTCCAGGGCAAAGAGATACGTGGGACTTACAATGTCCACGTATGGTTACAACTGAATCTCCAAGTCAAAGCTGGGGACCTGCGAAAGTCCGCGCGCAGCTTCCAAGCATGTAGACGCCTCTGCAACTCGGGAGGCTATGTGCACAATATGCAAGAGTTTCTCAAAATTGATGATTTTTTGTGGTGGGTTCTTAAAAACGTCGAAGTGATGTAAGTAATGTAGGCTTTAGAAAGATAACCTGCCTATCGGGGACTTCTAAACTGGCACCGCGGCCTCTTGTTGGCGGCACCGATAAAGATCCGACTATGTTGCGGGGCATGGGCATTCAAACGCAACCAACCCGGGCTTGTGCTTGGGAACTTCCAACATCGTGGGATACTGCATGTGGCCTCCAAGCTTCGGTTTCTCATCAGAGGCTCGCATCTTGGCGACAATGAAGCGGGCTGCAGCCACAGGAGTCCTTTGACAATTTCAACTGCCTTTTTGTTTTGATGTGGATGCAAATGCTGGGCATTTCTGGCCACCGGCGATGAGGTTAGAACTGCTCTTTTGCGATGCTGGTGCAAAGCGAGAACATTGAGGATCTTTGGGAAATTTCAAGCAATTCTACCAATTTCTTGCCAAGAAAAACAGTGCCGTTGTGCCCAGTGTCACGATGAAACGTCGCGCGGCGGCATATGCTTGGTTCATTGCATCATCTGTGCGCTCCGCAGCCTTCCTGAAAGCAAAGCAGCAGAGCATAACTGCAGGTTGGTTGGCACGGCTAACGCAGGATCAGATTCCATCTTTCAAGATCTTTGAAGGTTTAAAGATGTTACAATGCTGCTGTGAGCCGACCAGACGACTCAACATCACAGACGGAGGAATTGGATAAAAGCTCATGTTGCTGGAACTTCCAAAAGGGCCATATCAAGCCAAGAATCTTGCCATGACGGTATTCCCAGGCCGAAATATCGTCCGAGAGCTGAACGCAGATTTTCTTGCCTGTGTCTGTGGGCACCGATACACATGCTGCCGAACAAACTGGGTTTAGTGCAAGTCCAACAGAGCCCATGGCTGGCTGCCGCATCGTTCAGTGCTTTGTTGCGTGAGGGCGTGAGCTTGCCACCTACCACAGCCTTGAGGCCAAGCGCCTTGTAGTCCTGCAGCCGTTTGCTGGTCAGCAGGCCGTGGTGTTGTTGCTTCAACTGATCTCTAGTCCTCCAGGCTCTCGGCATCTACGTACCAGGTTGGTGTAACGCCAGCTTCCTCACGCAAGTAGCTAAGTAGATGTCATATGTGGATTCCTCAGGTGAGGTGCATCGCTGACATGTACCGACTGAAAAAATTAAAGATGGCAATTCATCAAGCATCCTGGAGCTGCATCTGCACCGACACAATGTCACGCACACCCTCGAGCTTGGTAGCACGGCGGGCCGAAACCACAGCGAAGTGGAACTCATCTTTGGATGGAAGGTACCTACCCACGAACAGCGAACAGGTCAGCCTGCTTGCTGTCAGGGAACTGCTTGGACATAATCGCGGCACTTCTTCTCTTGGCGGGAAAGCAGGCTGAAGAATTCAGAGTCCTTGTCCTCAGATTGATCAGATGGAGAGGTGTAAAAGCTCACGGTCTGCAGTCAGCTTTTGCCGGGAGACGGCCCCGATGAATGACGGGGCTCCACCTTTGCTCACTTCTTTGATTTGCTGGCGTGCCAGCTGGATCGTCTGCTGCGCCTTCACAAGCACAACAAAGCACAACCAACCTTCAGACAAAATTTTCATACTCTGTGGTGTCCAACTATGTCTCTCATCTCCTCATATGTTCTTTCTCCAGGTCCCACCTGAAGGCGCGCGAGCCGGACCTGGCCCTGGAAGCCGTCTTTTGAGGTCAGCTTTCGGCCCACCTGGCCACCAGTAGACTACTACTCACCACTCACTACGCCGACTCCACATTCTCAAAAGCTCAGTGGCCCGCATGTTCCTCAACCTTCTCCTTGTGAAAATACATCTTCATTTCAGGGCTGACGAACGTCGTTAAGGTGCCTCAGATGGCAAACGAGCTCAGCAGTCTTGGAGGGCAGAGTGCATTGTAAGCACACAGGGCCGCACAATGCGGCACACGGACCTTCAGCCACGCTGCCGCCATTACCACCAGCCTTGCTGCGCGAGTTCGGCTTGGTGATCTTGACTCCCTGCCCCCAATCATCAGGGAGCCATGAGCATCGGCTGAAGTCAACCTCAACTTTGACCTTGGTTCTTTTTGGGGGCTTCAAGATGAGCAGCAGGCTGGAAGCTTACACTTGCACATTGCACACAACGTTCAAGTCACATGAAGCTTCGATTTGGACATGGAATCTTCAAGGAACACCGCCCGTCAACGATGAATTAAAATCACATCAATTACTTCGACCCACGCAAATGCCCTGCAGTTGCAGGCAAGGACTGGTTAGAACGAGACAGACACCTGTGAAACCCCACGCAAATGCTTAGCTCAAAACCAAATGTGAGGAGGCCTTCAGCCCTGCAAGCGCTGTTCCAAATTAGAAGCGGAGGTATGCGACCTGAAGCCCCACGTCCGGCTTACGCTGAAATCTCAACTGTCAACTGTGGGTTCGAAAAGGCAGCGAGCTACTCCCACCCAGAAAATCCTTGCATGTTTGCGTTCATTCCCCAGTCCATATACAGCGGTCACAAGTGTGGGTGGATCGAAACTTTTTTGAGCTTTTGCAGATCCAGCGCAACCCCATCGGCACAGCACCAAAACACCGTGCCCAGATGTCAGCCTGTAAATTCTGCCTTGGGTGAGAGTTTCAGCCAGACCCACAGCCATACAATACACTCATAGATTTCCTGCAATTTGCACGGAAATTACCGCCAGAATCCTAGAATTCTCTCTGGAGATTTCATGTCACGTGGAAATTCCCGTGGGAATCCTGTCATTTTCTGAACATCTTAGAGAGCACAAAGCCCAAGAATTCTAAATGACGGCTCCAAAAATCTTGTCATTTCTCCTTTGGCGTCCCATGAAAATCGGATCTTTTTCTATACAAAAGCATCCTGTCATCTTACATGGACTCCCAAACTGAGATTGGTGGAAAAGACAAACCAGGAGACCACTGAACACCGTGGACGCAGTGGTCAAGGCAAACGCAAATAAAAACACCACCAAACTACTTCCAATATCTTCCAATTTCGGTAGGTCCCGTACGCCGGTGGCACTGACCCAGTTCTTGGGGTCCACAGAGCCCTTCTTCCTCACCACAGGGTACCTTGATCCAAGCATCTTCTAAGGGTAGGCAGGGGTTGCTTACTACACGCAAAAAAACGAATGCTGCTGAATGCCATCAAGGAGCCCTGCACGGTCCGTGATCGGAACAGCGCTGGACGCCTCATAGACCAATTGCGGCTGCTCCTTGATCCGGATATCCTTTCTTCCGGACTTCTTCTTCAGCTGTGACCGCAAGGCGTTTTGCATGAGGCCCTTGCTCAGTCTTTTCACCTCTTTTCCTGCGCATCACTCAGAGATTCACGGTTCCAAAAGCAACCCTGCCAAATCCTTCCCGGTCCTGTCAAGCCCCGCCGGGTGCTTGCTGACGTCACACTCTTCGCTTTCTTGGCACCTGTCTTCTGAACCTTCGAGCGCTTGGAACCTGCTGCGCGTCGTTTGTCCATGGCGGGAGATTTGCCTTTGCAGCAGCCCGGGCAGGTATGCGCACAGCTAAATGCTGCAGCCAGACAGCAGTTGCGGCTCCAAAATCTACTTTCTATGCTCATTTTCAACTCAACTCATCAGTTTGGCAAGCAGCTACTCCTCGTGGTCCGCAACCTTTTGCCATGCTTCAAAGAAATCATCCTGAATGCCCTCTGGGATCTCCCTGATCCGGTCCCTCCATTTCGCACCCTGCTCCTCGCATGCACAATCCTGTTCCAAGATGTTCATGCGCTGCCCAGAGAATGCATGGATGCATGCATGTGCATTTGCAACATGTAATGACAGAGCTCCGGTTTTTCCCCTTGCAAACAAATCAGCGGCTTGGTTTCAGCATCCGCGGCGGAGACATGCATCCAGCAGCTGTGCCTTGGAGATGAGGCTCGGGGGGTTGCTCCCGGGGCTTACAGGACCTCGAGAGGGCTTTCATGATCACATGCCACATCTAGAAACCAAGCTCTCTGCGGACCTCACCGATCCGCACAGCAACCTCACCAGGCATGGGGCGCAATACAAGAAACGTACGTCGTGCTCTTCTGAAGCTTGCACACGCGTGTGCTCTTCGAATGCACTTGTACTTTTCGAATGCTGCTGGGCCACATGATGTGGTGCGACAACCTGCTTCGGGTCTTCGGAATTGTCGGCATGTACAACGACTTGGAGCTCACCATTAGCTACAAACATCTCGGATCCCCACCTGCGGAGCCGCAGTCCGGGCACCCGCAACGGGAGCCACATGCACCTCTGAAGTTGCAAACAAATCCAACTTCTGCAAACCTCATAAGGGCCCACCTTGGCAGCAGATCCGGAAACCAGGCGAACCTGAGTTCTGCGCATAGCTGGCATAGCTGACCAAGCTAAGCTGCCATCTCGATCAGACGTTCCCTTCTTGCAAGCAGGACGCCCTGTATGGAGAAGGCCTCGGCTTCCTACCCTGATCACGTGCTCTTTTTAAAGTGCGAGACTGGTCTTTAAAAGCTGGGCCGCTCCCAGCGCAAGGCAGTGGAGCCGCCCTCAGCCTGAGGCCATAAGAAGACCAAGAGGCACAATTAGGTCCCATCACCGTTACACAGCCAAGTGGCCAGGATTGGGATCGCACCCGGCGCAGGTGTCCGAGCTGAGTTGGGATGGGCCTGGACAGCAGCCTATCTTGACATTGGGAAACAGCACATGATCCTTCCATCAGTAGATTGCAGTCCGAGGCACAGTCTTCACATATTGGGAGGAGACAGGAGGGAGCGGTGATCGCTGGCCTTCGACGGGGCCTGTAAGTGGCAGCAAGTGACTGTCAAACATTTCTGGTTCACACAGTTCCCAGCTTTCACACACACACGCACACGCAAGTGGGGCCAGCAGCCATGCAAGCACGACGGCAAACATAACTGCTATGGCAGACGCCTGGCCTTGCTCCGTCCTGGCAAAAATGATCACCAACAACGAATGAACACCCGTGTCAGATGAAGTCGCAGCATCCACACACAAGGGGCACGGGGACGAAAACCTGCAGAGGGACCTGCGCTTGAAGCACATCTATGATGGACTAATATGGACTACCCAGGGACCACTCCCGCAGCTAAGCCAGCTAATCTAAGCACTAATATTGACTAGTCGTGCTCGGCTCTGTGGTGAGGGGACGCTGGAACGGTGACGCCCTGCGATTCGTTCAAACTTGCGCTCCTGGCCGTGGATAGGCTCCTCGAGCCCGATGCAGGGCCGGAGCTAAGCTGCTTGCCACTGAGGGCGTAACGATACATGGGGGTGTGTAGGTTCCGGGGACCAAGCTCGTGCAGTCGCAAAAGTCCGAGCAAAGCAAATGACTCTGGCTCACAAGACCACCACCACGGGCAACAATCGCGAGCATCTGACCACATGTGCTTAAGCTCAAGGACGTTCTAATTTCGCTTCGGCACCATCATGGATGAAAATTCTTCTCCCAGACACATACCCCTGATGCAGAGTTTGCCCAGGTCCTCGGCGAGTGCAGAATATGGCCATCCTGCACGTGCGCCTCAGATGTTGCTTGGGATGTGACGCCAATGATGCCACCTTACATGCAACAAATAGCAGGTCACCGTGCCACAAGCCAGGAGTCCGGAGCTGGCTGGAGTGGCTGCGACACCGTGGCAGACTGCTGCCAGGGGGACATCCAATACGCTGGGCTCCGGCTTTGCCTTCAACCACCAGCAGAAATCACCAAAGGTGCCGGCTCAAACCCGTGCATAAACACGCCGGGACCACTGGCTTGCCTTTGGGGCTGCCTGCCTCGGAGCGCATACATTCCAACTTACAAACCTTGGCTGGTAGCTTTTCCAAGCGCGAAGCACTTGGCGAAACTCTGATGGCGAAAGGTCCCGTTTGACTGTTGCTGGCGACTGGACCTACCAGGTCGCCATAAAACACCGCACTGACAGAACACTGCACCAGCCCTGGCGGCACCTCCCCGACAATACTCAAAAGGCCGCTGCCTTTGTGGGACAGGATCGTACCTGGCAACTAAACGTGCCAAGTAATTAGCAGCAAGCCTTCATCCATTTACCATAGTCCTCCCGCCTACAGGATAGTTCGCAGAGCAGCTTCGAGTTAGTGGGGAGGAAGTCTCCTCCCCACCTCACACGCGCTTTTGTCAGCAAATGCATGTGTGAATCCTTGAAGGTGGAGCATGCCTCAGACTGGGGCAAGGGCTCACAGGATGCCTTGGGGAACATGCAGCCAGATTGCCGGTCGATGCCTGAAATTGACACAGCAAATCAGTGGCTCAAGAGCAGGATTCAAGGTGCATCCCAAGCGTGCTTCTTCTTCTTCAGGCGTGCATTTCTCTCTCTCTCTCTCTCTCTCTGCCATGCCATGGCGTGCATCCCAAGCTGCTAAAGCGTGCGTAGGCATGTTGTGGATTTGCCGGGAGGGTGTGGCATATGGGCTATTCAGCGCCATCCTCGGCGAAGTGGCATCCATGCTCGAGACATCCGTTCGTTGACGAACGCCGCCAGGCATCGATCCAGCTGTTGCAGAAACCTCTGGCATCAACACAGCATGCTTGCAGACCAGAGAAATCTCAAGAACAAAGAACACAACCATTGAGAAGCCGCACCTTCAACTGGCCAGCCATGACGCGGATCAAGGCCTGCATCTGCCCCACCATCTTTGTCAGGTCAGACACTTGCTCGGCCGCGTTTCGGCCGTGCGTGTTGGCATCCTTCAACCAGTTGTCCACCTCAGAACACTCCACCAATCTGGGAGCAAGCATGGTGTCTTTGCATCAAAATGCAGTCTGAGCCGCGCTGAAGTGCTCCCACTCGATGATCTTTTGCCACATCGACGTCTCGGTTGTTCGGGGCGTCGCCGGTGTATGTGACAGGACGCGGTACGTTGGGCCAGCCGTGGCCTGCAATTGAGGATGTGGGTTGTGTCCTAACAGCCTGGACTACTTTGAGTTGTAGTTCAGGATGCCAAGCAAGCTCCGTTGATGGCATTTGGGAAGCCAGTGGCACACAAAACGTACTCAACTCATGTCCTTCAATTCCCGTTCTCCAGCATTCACACGTATTTCTAGTCCCCGCTAAACCTCCACCAAAGGAGCTGAAGCGCCAGCTGAAGCGCCAGCCAACTTTGCTTCAGGCTTTCGCTCCGGCAGCGTCCTTGGCTTCGTGAAGCATAGACTGGATGGCGACCAGCCGCAAAGTGCTCAAATGCCAACGAGACACTGCTTGCACGGGGCCAGCGCTGGGCTAACGACACTCTGACCTCCTCAGGGCTGCACTGTGGAAGCATAGACTGGCAGGCAGCATGTTGTAGCATTCACGTCCTTCCGGTCTCGCCGCCGCCTCATCGTGGAGTTTGAGACACTTGGCAGCGATGTTCGCTGCCAGGGACTCTCTTGGAGACGCCGAAGGTTTCGGCGTCAGCAGCAACAGGGTGGCTCCGGGATCTAGGCTGGCGCCTGTGACCTCGAGACAAGGGACATAGCAACACCAATCTGACCAGCCTACTCCAAGGCCTCATGTCACGTCCCAACAGTTGCAGCAGTGTCGTAACTTGTGTTCAGAGCCACTGATGTCAGTCCGAAGCCCGTTCTGGGGCGATTGATGACCATGGAGATCTGTCTCAGGCCTCAGATTTCTTGGCACCATAGGACCATATTTCAAGACTGCAAACCTCGGGCTGGCTCCATCCAGCTCGGGGAGCGTTCAGATTAAGCAGGGCTTCTGCACTCCACCCGCCAAGTCTTGAACAGCCCACGTAGCAAGACCAAGCGCAAGAACTGAAATCCCATCCGGTTTCTCTGAATCTAGGTCCCTGTTTAGGGTGACATGAAGTTCCAAGCAATTCGGCCTTAAGGGGAACCTTCTTGCCAGTATTGAGAAATACTCATGACTCATGATGTTGTTTGTGTAGCCCAGGCGGCTTTCTGCATGGCGGCGCAGGTGATCGGGCGCCTGCGCAGCGGAAGCGAGCCCTGCAGAGGGCAGCGAGCCCAGAAAGACGACCGTCAGCCTGAAGCAACAGTTATCTCAGCAGCTTGCGGTTTACATTCATACGTCTTGAGCTCCAAGATTTCAGATCGTCCGACATTCTCTCCTACCCAGATATCTCTCTCGGCAAATTTTGTAACGCACATATTGAGGACAAAGGCGAATGGGATCAAGACCCTGCCAAAAAGCTTTATAATCACCGCAAGCCAACTCTGCATGCACAGTGGCGCCCCCATTTCGTTGGCGTGCGCTGCTGTCAGTTCCAGGACGAAATGACTGACACCGAGGTGACCTCCCATCAAAACGGAGGTCATGTCCTTCTTGCAAAGGTGCATACCGCATCATACCGCCATAGTCTTGCATGACACCCATCTCATGCAGCCAACTCATTGAGCCTGCATCCTTTGATCTGCCTGAAGCACCATGTGATGTACTTGTGCTAGCTGCAGCAGGCGGAGCCATCTATGACCCATCTGAATTGTTCACCAGGTAGCGATGCAGGCATTCGTCTACTCGATCCAGGCATTGCTTCAGGGGCTCACTTGTGCAGAGCAGCGCCTCGGGAGTTCAAACTCCGCTGGCAACTGCACAGGAAACAGAAGAGGCCAAGATGCATTGTCAGCCATTGCAAATGGATCCTGAGGAAACTGCAAAAGCCCCAAAGTTGGGCAACCGCTAGGCAGTGCTGCCGAGGGTCACTGGGCCTATCTGCAACTACATCCAGCCACTGCAGCTGTTGCTTGTCGTCCTTCGAGAGCAGCCCATCGACAATGAAAAGGTGGCACATACTGATTTGAACTAATCTGCACTTGCAATTCAAAACGAGAATTGCCCAATTCAATGCAGGTTTATTCCCCCAAGGCCACAGGCCGATGGATGCCTCTTGCCTCGCAACACTGGAGAAGCGAGACTCCAAGGCGCAGCAGCCGCTGCGATGCAAGGCGAGCGGAACCCGTCCTTGGAGCATGCACGTGTCACTATGTCAGGGCATCCTGGAGCGCTGACCGAACAGCAATTCTGGAAGAGCGCTTGCTGCTTTCCACTTCAGACTGCTGCGCGTACCGTTTTTCGTAATCAATTTTGTGTTCAATCTCAGTTTTGCGGCGGCGCCAGGCCCCTCAGCAAGAAGATTAGCCATGCAGCTGGCTGCGCAAGGATACCCGAATCACCTTTGTCTCGCTGACCGCGAAGTGCTGAAGTGTTGTTGTGTTCTTAGCTGATGTGACTGCCTTTGTGCACGGTGATCGTACACAGCGATCTGCCTCAAGGCTAGCCTCAACAAAACATTATTACATACATGCTGCACAGGAGTGCTGTGAGACATTCTCGGGATCTTCGGCGGCTCATTGCTGGCATAGGCTCTTGCTAGACAAGCCTCCTGCCCGAGGAGATCTTGGGCGCAAACAGATACTGTAGCTGACCGTCTCAAGCCTACACTTCGCACGGCGTCTTGCATCTCTAGCACGGGGCCAAAAACTCTGTGCTGGTAGAAGACCACGTGTTGTCATTTCCATGCAGAATGCCATGCATGAGATAATCCCTGCATGGCGTTTTGCTTGGGAGGCCACATCATGTCGCAGGATGCCGGCCGCAGCAGGACATTTAGCAGCCGAAGCCCCAAGCCCGAACCTAAGCTGCGAGGGAAAGACAAGCGCGGTGCCATCCAAACAAATCCTCAACTTGCCATCCAAGCTGCTGCCGTAGCAGCCAACGAAGCTTCGATGACCCTGCAGAACCTGAGAGGCATGCCCCGTGCCTGCTAATGTCTCGGGCATGCCGCAAGAATCCAAGCAGCCGGATCCACCAACCTGACAGATGATGAGAAGGAGCAGAAAGTGCGACCCCGAATCGATGCAATGCCAGCAGGACACGCTCTCGGGCTTTCAGCGAGCATGCAGCGGCGCCACGCTACTTGCGCAAACCAAAGACTGTCCCTAAGTGCTACGACTCCATCTCCCCACCTGCTTCTGCCACCGAGAAAAGCGTAGAGGTCTTGTGGTATTGAGCCTTCATCCTGAGAGCAAACAGCGTTGAACTCGTAAAGCTGGTGTTTCTACCATGCTGCAATGAGCAATGAAGGTCTATTGCTATTCCCACCAGGGCTGCGGTTACTGCCACGAAGAAATCTGATACAGTTTCATGGCACAATTCAGAGCTCCTATCGCTATGCCATGCTACGTCTGCGCGAGGGGATTCTGACGTTGACTTCCTTCAAGCAAGGCACCTCGCAGCAAAGGATCCGGGGAACACCTGAAGCGGAAGCGTCCGAAGCGACGCTAAAGAGAGCATCGCTGATGTCCTCTGCTTCTTGGCCTGCTCCAAAGTCCGATTTACCCAAGGCCACAAGAGCCAAATCACATAAGATCACCGTGGCACACCCAACCCTTGACAGATTTGGCAAAGGCAGTGGCACCACAATGCCTGGATCTTCTTCTTCAACAAATCCATCTGCCATGAGCTGAACTCTGCACAGCAGCTGAACTGTGGTCACTTTGATCCATTCTCTTCGTTGGCTTCGACAGTCTTGCACACGTGCTACATAATCAGGAGTGGGAAGGCAGTTGATCCAAGAGTTAAAGAAAATTAACTCCTGAGTTAATTGCCCGGGTCCGGCACCTTGGCAACCCCCAACATCCAGAAAAATTAAATCCTGATTTAATTGTTCTATTGCGTCGTGCAACGCCTTCCCCATGTGCCTCACGTACACACTTAAATCATGATTTAATTGTGCACC